GTACATGACGACTTGAAAAAGTATCAAATTTGTGTGGTCGATTATTTTAAAAGTATCAATTTGTGTGCCATTAACATGGAAGCAATTCACTAAAATCTAAAGTTTGCATATTATGTGCCATTAAATATGATAAGCAATTCTGATAGGTTATGTACGCTATAACTAATATAGAAATTTTTTACAAAATCATTTTACAGTCTCAGTTACATAAGCTTAATAATGACCAGTAACATGTGGATAGTTTTCGTACATAAATAATTGCGAAAAACAAGAATGAGAATTTTTTTTCCAAACCTTCATTATTGATTTTGGCATATTTGACAAAACTTCATTACATTTATGGCATATTTGACAAAACTTCATTATTGATTTTGTAATGTTTTTTTTTTCCAATAAAGTATCAAATTTGTAAATTACGTACATCTAGTTCAGAAATTGTAAATGTACAAAATGCTTGCATCAGTCAAACTATTAAAATCTTCAAATGGTAGAAGAACTATGTGATTTTAACTAAAATTTTGTAATAGACATTTTCAATCAAGTAGAGAATAAAAAACATAGGCCTATGTGGTATAGTTAAATGTTTTTGCATTGTCATTTAGTTTAATTTATTTGTTTAGTATGTTAGTTGTAAATTTTGTCAAGGAAACCAAACAATTACAATATATAAAGAATTACAAAATAGAAATGATCTATTACAAATAAAAAATGATCTATTTAAATGTACGATCCCGTTTACAAATAATGAATTACAAAAGAAAAGAAAATGATCTATTACAAATAAAGAATTAAAAAATGATCTATTACAATATGTAAGTATTACATAGTCTTCATCGACCAACTCGCGCCGGACATGTTCGCCTGTCATGACTTGTCTGTTGGCACTCACTGCAATGAGCGGTTAAACGCCTATCTGATATGTCCATCTCATTCGGAATACGAGACATAGATGCACGACCCCATTTTACTTCTCGCAGATGCAGTACATTAGGCATTAAGGTCCACTGCGGATCAGCCCAATAATCTTGATGCGGTATTGGATTGAATTTAGTTTCCCAAACCCTCATGTATACAGGAAGCCTATATACTAGATCAACGTACTCGAATGGATTGTCACCGCATTCAAACATTACAGCGAGCATATGAGAACATGGATAATGTCGTATCTCATATTTCCCACAACCGCACGTGGGTTGATTCATCCGTACAATTTGTGTATTGCGATCTCGTCCATGGCGAAAAGATGTTTGCACCTCAAACACGCGGCGTGGCCTATCAGAAAATTGTAATAGAAATTAATCAAGTTCATATTTTAGGTGTACTTAACTTGACAACATAATAACAATAATTTAATTTATATTACAAACTAACCTGTCATATGATATCAACCTGAAAGTATTTGCCCTTGCGATGCCATCCTCAATAGTTTTT